ACAGTTGGTCGGCTGAGGGGGCCAACGTATGGTCCAACCGTATAACCTTGAGAAAGGTTGTTGCAGATGGTCGAATGAGAGGTCTTGACAGCCGGAGGGGACGAGAACGTTTACACAGAAAAAAAGATCCAGAGTGAGAGGAACTTGCACTTTTCATTTGTAATTTTCCACTAAGGTATTTACACTTTTATTGATCATACAATCAGAGATTTATAGAGTTTTAGGTACAAAGTATTGGTCTTCCACCCATATAATCCAACCAAGAGGTGACGGGTCCTATTACTTGCTTGATTTTGTAGGGCCCTTCTTAGTTTGGGCCAAGCTTCCCAACGCTGGGATTACGAACCATGAGCTTTTTAAAGACGAGGTCGCCTTCCTTGAAGTGACGCTGTCTAACTCAAGAGTTATAGTATCTTGCAACTCTTTGCTAGTTGGTTGCGACCCTAATTTGATTTTGGTGTCGGACACCTTCCATTAGGTTAAGGTTGTTCCTTAATTCATCATTACTCTCAACTTCCTGGTATGCCTCAATTCGTAGTGTCGGCTGGACAATCTTTGTTGGGATGATTCGTCCCATATGTGAAGTTGAAGGTAGTTTCACCCATAGTAGTCCTAGGTGTTGTTCAGTACACCCATAGAATGTTGTACAACTCGTTCGCCTAAAGCCCTTTGTTTCTATCTAACCTTGCTTCAATCCGTCTAGGATTATCTTATTGGTGAACTTGGCCGTCCCATTAGTTTGAGGGTAGCCGATCGAGGTGTATTGCTGCCTTATTCGTAGGCTTCAACACCATTCTCTGAACTTGGAATCTTCGAAACATCGACCGTTGTCGGTGACGAGCATGTATGGAACGCCAAATCGGCAAAGAAAAAGCTCTGAACCATCTTATCTGTAATGGTTACCAAGGTCTCGACTTCGACCCATTTAGTGAAGTAATCAACTCCCACGATAAGGTGTTTCTTGTTTCCTATGGTCGGGGGGAAAAGGTCCAAGGAGGTTTATTCCCCACTTTGCAAAGAGCCAAGGGTTGTCGTAGGATAATGGAGGATGTTGGAGTGCCATTGGCATCGATCGCACTCCTGTACCAACTCAATAGCGTCTTTCTGGATGATCGAGCAGAAATATTATTGTCTAAGTGCTTTCTGTGCCAAGGCCATGCCCCCTACATGATTGCTGCAGATGCCCTTGTGGATTTATATTAGCACGCACTCTCCCTCCTCTTGGCAGAGGCATCTAAGATAGGGTAGGGTGAAGGATATTTTGTACAACTAGCCTCAAGTATGTCATACCGTGCTAATTGTTGTCGGACTCTCCTTGCCTCATTATTATTGAATGGCAGTTGCTTATGTTGCAAGTAGGCAAGAATGGGATCCATCTGGCAAGGTGCAGTTTGGACAAGATATACTTGCTTCTCTTCGATGCTGGGTTGTGTTAAGCTCTCAGTGTGCAAAATGCGGCTAAGGGTTGATCCCGAATAGATTGCAAGTTTTGATCGGGTGTTGTCTCATGTGACCTGGTGCAGAGCGAATTGCTTGAAGTGACTAGTTAACTCTCGGACTTTGCTCAAGTATTTAGCCATATTTTACTCCTTGGCCTCATACTTTCCATTCACATGGTTCACAGTCAATTGTGAGTTGTTGAAAACCTCAATGTGCTTGGCTCCGAGGTCGTTTGCAACCTGGGGACTTGCAAGCAAGGCATGGTACTTGACTTCATTATTAGAGATAAGGAAATCGAACCACAATGCATACTCCAACTCATTATCTTACACGCACGGTCCACTTATTTTGTGTCACATAATCACATTGTAGCAGGCCGTGCCTATATGGTATAAAAGTGTGGGGAGGGGACCCAACACAATCCCAAGCTAGTGGCCAATAAGCCCGTGCTAGCTTGATCCAACCCATTGGCTGGCATGCCTAGTACAATTTTTTTTTATGTGGTGGGTTGCAGTGAATTTTTCCCTTTATTTTAATAAAATAAAAATGTCATAATATAACAATTTTATTATATATTTAATATTTTATATATTACGATGTATAAAATAAATTTATATGCATACCTCTATTGCTCTCCAATTTAGGATTTATATCTCTAAACAATTTGTATTTTATGTTCAAGAGCTACAAAGTTGTATATATTTTTAGAAGATTTTTTCTCATCAGAAGGCAATAATATTTGAGAGAAATTATTTCTTTGTATTGTGTAACATTTTTGTACTTCTATCACATCAATATCATTAACTACAATATCAAAGTTTATGGTTAGTGTTATTGAGTATGTACTTCTATCACATCAAGTACTAATGAAAATGATATTCACCATGGCGCACATCATCATCATCATCATCGAAGGCTTATCCCAAGTATATGAAGTATATGGATCGGCTACATGTTTGGTCATTGTGTTTTAGTGCCATATGCCATAACCATCGTCAAATCATGGGTGCTTAACTCATAACTTATCTTTACACAATATTTATGTTAAGGTTTGGCAAAAGTTTTAAGACTGACTATTAATCGGACACAACCCTCTTCTATTTGGGCTTGAGACTTATTGTGTCAAAAACTGCTTACTCAACTCACTAGGAGAATTATTTGGTGTAATTTATTAATATAATATTTGGTTATGTTTACAAATTTCTATTATGATCGAGGCTGACGTAAATGTAAATAGCAACTTAAATACTATTATTTATGAAACCTTCCCTTACATGAATCCGAATTGTTATTCTGCCACATGTTTGGTTCAGACAGGAATAAAAGTTAAAATTAGAATCAGTTGGAATGAGATTGTCATTTCCAATGGAAGGAGCGAGAATGATTATTGTCCCAAATGGAAAAATGCCATTCCACCAAGAGTGTAAATGGGATTTTCAATTGGTAAGAATCGGAATGGGGTCATTTTATTATAATTCCAGATCCTTATTCCCACGAACCAAACAGATCCAACTGCAAATCAAACGGACCCAGCCTTTTAGACCACTGTACCCTTTTGTTTCATATTTTTGGGTGGAATTTATGATTTAGTATGTAAATTCAAAAAGAGAAGAGAAAAGAAAAAAAAGAAAAAAAGAGCCACGTTGGAGTTTTAAGTGTTAATTTCCGAAAACGAAAATAATCTCTTATTCCTCATTAAGACCCAGAAGTCTTTCTAGTACTTACCATAGAAAAGAAGATAGGTGACCCAAAAAGCCACACGTCTTGGTCCCTTTGGGGCATAGGATTCCTTTTACCAGAAAACCTATATGTAACCTACCCAAGCCAATCAATTCAGCGCTTGGCCTATCAAAAATTTCAATAAAAAAAAAACATCAAATCATGCTTACCTTTTCTTTTCCTTGGCCAATATAAAATTTTAATTGGATTAGTGTTAATTAAATTTTGTTGAAAAAAGTAAAAGGGAGGTAGAGCCTTGTTTGTTTTAATCGTTATTAGATTAGATGAATTTCAACTTCGAGGATATTTATTCAATCATCACATCACTTGTTAAAAATGAGAAAAATGGGGGGACTCAATTATCTCTATTTGATCCATATTGAGATGAGTCTGAGACTTCTCTCTTCATGGAAAGAGGATAGCTGGCAGGTGATTACTGATAGTCGAGGATTCCATTTGATAGCAACATACCTACCGACCGGTGCATTGGAATGCTTTTCCCCACCTTAATAAGTTGCTCCCTTTGTCCCCCATTCCACGCGTCAACCAGATGTTGATGAATGATGATTGATGATGAAGGCCAAAATTAATGTGTCAAACATTGTACCATCTGGTCTGGTGGTCGATGTTAAAGTCGAACAAGTCAACTACATGGCTTTCGGTTTCGTACATGTGTAAAATGATGCCAACCGTCTGATTGGTTTGTTGGGTCCCACTTGGTTCACGGTTCTAATCAGCGTTTGATTTGGAATAGCACGTGAAGCCAACGGATCGGACGGAGGGAGAAAGGAAAGGGAGGAAATATCAAATATGAGACTGAGAGGCAAAAGTGGGGAGGGAGAGTGTAGACGGGACTATCAGAGTAAGGACGTGGGTTGGACAGGTAAGAGACATAATGGGTGGGCCTGGGCCTATCTACTACTTCAAATGGGGGGGGGAGGGGAGGCCCACATACATGCTGTTTCTACTTGAGGAAAACAACGTTGCCGACGGTAGCCTCGTCTTGCTTCCATTAGTGGAAGGTTTTTCCCCTATCTCTGAAGATGAGATGCACTGGCTAGAGTTGCCTTGTCCTGATGCGATATGATGTAGCCCCTTTACCTTGTGGGGTCCACACTCTGTTTCCTTTGTGACACACACACCCGCCATCTTCTTCCAAAGTATATTTTTATTTATTTTTAACCAAAAGTCACTGACTTCTTTTCATTATAAATATAAAAAAAGAAAAATGATAAAAAGAAAAAAACGAGGTGCGGCCTCGTGGGCCTGGGTTGCGGACCTCAATGTCCAATTGGTCGCTCGAAAGACCAAAAGTGGCAACGTGGCCCTCTCCCGTACTCTTGGATTGGACTTTTCTGGAAACACCTTCCTTTTCTTTACATTATTCCCATTTCCTTTTCTTGAAACCCTGCTAACTCTGTGCTTGCCCCTAGGCACTAGGGTCTGGATGAATGACAGGGTTGGCGATGGCGAGTCAATATTATTCTCCTTTTTCTTCCCAAACTACCCCCTGTTTCCCTGTCAGTTACCAAGTTTTTAGATTTTTTATTTAAAAGAGATTAGATTTCAAAATACAAATGATCGATAGAAAAGGAAAGTTCTGTAAAAAAAAAAAAAAACTTTTTTTATGTACTGTACGGGATGCAATATTAATAAAAAAGGAAAAATAAAATAAAATAAAAGAGAGATGATACCAACATTTAATCTCAGAGAAATGATAACCATGACTGTAAAAATAGAAGAAATAAGCAAGTAATTAGTAGTGTCTTGACTTTCTTTTAGCCGATAATGAAATTCATAATGAGAGAGTAAGAGAGAGAGAGAGGATGCTTTTCGATTTGGTTAACGTGGGAACAATATAACCAAGAAAGAGATGGTTCTCTTTTTCCACTTTTGATTTTTTTCCCCTCTAGCTTCACTACAAGTAATGGAGAAATTAACCAGTATAAGTCTAAAGAGAGAAATTAACAGAGACAGAGAGAGTGATGAGTAATCAGTTAAAGTCTTTGGGTTGGGGGGTTGTTGATGGGCGATATAGGGGGTCTATGAATATGAATATGAATGATTGAAACTAGGGGATAGAAGAGAGAGAGAGAGAGACCAACGGTGGATTCTGTTGCTTTTCGCTAAGCTTTCTCGTCCTGGCCTCGTCTATACTGTATTCGGCACTTTGGGGGAGATAGCAGTTCTGGAGTGCCTTTTTGCATCGAAACTCTTTTCTTACGTTTGTTTTCTCAAGTCTGGCCGGTATATAATTATATACAAATAAAAAGCAAATTAAAATAAGCAATACATTATGCAGAGATATTATTATGTGGTTGTATGAATTTCGTTATACAGAGTAGGAAGAAAGCAAGATATCTTTTGCCGACAGCAACCCAAATTCCGATCTTGATGGAGAGAGATGATCGGTGATCCTAGTTTGTTCTTTGTTCATACGAGGAAAGGTCGGAGCAGCTTGGATCTTCCATATTCTGGAGACCACCACGACAGACAAACAAGGAGAAGAAGACGACGACGGAGGAGACACCATGTGGGATCTCAACGACTCGCCTGATCAGAGGAAAGAGGAGGAATCCGAAGGTTGTTCCTCGCAGAAGACGTCGGTCGATGGAGACGAGGACAAGGGCAAGGGGGTCGGATCCTTTTCCAATGAAAATTCCAGCTCCTCGGCTTTGGTCATCGAAGATGGATCGGATGAGGAGGAGGATCGAGGCGCAAGGAGGAAAAGGAGTAGTAAGATCTTCGGCTTCTCTGTGACCCACGATGACAACTGCTTTTCCGAGAATGAACCGGTGGTGACCCGTCAGTTTTTTCCGATCGAGGACTCGGAAATGGGGTCGACTCCTGTCGCTACGGCCTCCTTGCCGCGGGCTCACTGGGTTGGTGTCAAATTCTGTCAGTCGGAGCCTCTTGCTGCTGCCAGACCTATAGACGTTTCCCAGCCCATGAAGAAGAGCCGGCGAGGGCCAAGGTCTCGAAGCTCACAGTATCGTGGCGTTACCTTTTACAGGAGAACCGGACGTTGGGAGTCCCATATATGGTTCGTTTCTTCCAGTCTAAATGCGATATTTATCATCATTTCTTTTCTCCCCCTTTTTCTCTTCTAAATAATTATCTTTTCTTAATCTCTTGTTGCTGTTCAACTTCTTCAACTACAATGTTCATGTCCTTTCCATGTCGTTCTCGATGCAGGGATTGCGGAAAGCAAGTTTATTTGGGTATGCAGATAATAATTTCTGTTTTGTTAGGGAAAAACACTGATTTCTTTTGGGTGGGATGAAGTGTGTGGTTACTGATACTGAGATGTTTCTGTTATGTGGTAATAGGTGGATTCGATACGGCACATGCAGCTGCTCGGTGAGCTTTTAGCCCCATTCCCTACAACCCAGTTTCTCCGATGCTTGTAGTTTAATTATTCTGTACCTTTGTTTTATTTATCCACCCTTAAAAAAGGTTGTATGGAGATCGTCTTTTCTGAAACAGAGAAATATTGTTTCAGTGCATACGACAGAGCAGCTATCAAGTTCCGCGGAGTAGAAGCAGATATAAATTTCAGTCTTGATGATTATGAGGAAGATTTGAAGCAGGTGAGAGCGAAAGGGGATACAACTTATCTTCACCCTTTTTTTTTATTAATTAAATCTTCTACAGTAAGCCTTCTTTGGGTGTTTAATATTTAACTGAAATTGAAAGAAGAGGCACTGTAATGTGATGGTGGTGACAGATGAGCAATCTAACCAAGGAGGAGTTCGTTCATGTACTTCGCCGCCAAAGCACTGGCTTTCCCAGAGGAAGTTCCAAATTTAGAGGCGTAACCTTGCACAAATGCGGAAGATGGGAAGCTCGAATGGGCCAGTTCTTAGGCAAGAAGTAATTGTACTCTACCCTTTTCTTCATCTTCCATTGAAAATCTTTACATTATTTCCCTTTCTCGTAGCTAATGGATAAGACGATTCTTCTTCTTTCTCTATTTAATCTTCTGACATTACTCACGCAGATATGTATACTTGGGTCTTTTTGACACCGAAATTGAAGCAGCCAGGTATTTCACTTCAATTTTCATATGCTTGATTTTTTGCTGATGCTTAGAGCATTCTGTTTTGGGTGCATATTTACGAGGCTACGACTAGTTATCTTTCTGTTCTTTCGTCTGTTAGCTTTTAGAGTGTTAATGTGTTGATTGATATCTGTGCAGGGCTTATGATAAAGCTGCAATCAAGTTTAACGGTAAGGAAGCTGTGACTAATTTTGATCCGAGTATATACGAAGAGGAGCTCAATGCTACTGGTAAGCCATAAAAACGATTATGGTTGTTTCTTTTATATTTATTCTCTTCTTTCTTTCTAGTAGTAAGAAAAAAAAAAAAAAAAGGAGAAGAAAATTGCAATGGCAACCCTTGTCCAGGTAAAGATGTGGATCACAATCTCGATTTAAGCCTGGGCAATTCTGCCCCGAAGCGGGATGGTCTTGAATTGGGGATGGGAGATCTGCGACACTCGTCAACGCCTATCGAACCTGATTGGGGGATCAGCAATGGGGGCTGTAGGTCCAAGGTACATTGGTGTTCTGTTGCTTCTTAGTTAATCAAGTATAACCACCGAGCCTTGACAAATTCGAACTAATGCAGGATGAGCTATGTAGAAGCAATCACAGACAAGACGAGAGCGAAGAGAACGAAGCTGTGAGGATGCTCAACCAGACTCACATTCAATCCCCGGTGTCGCTGAAGGGCAATGAAATGCAAGGACATTGGCAGTTACGGCGAAGCGGGGAATCCCCAAAGGTTCACATCCTGCACCTGCAACAACAATTCAATCCTTCGAATTATCAAGTGGGTGTTGTTATTTAGAACTTAGAATTGAGACCCATTTCAGTATCACATCGATGCGATTAGATGCTGCCGTTTCTAACAATTGGACTGTTGTACTTAATTTTACCCTTTTGTTGTAGTATCCATTCCCGAGTAGCTGCGACGGGGATGACCGAATTGGAGTCGTAGGAGGAGGAGGAGTTCTGTCGCTAGCGACGGGCGATTCCCAACAACGGCAAATATCGGGATGGAACCGAGGCAGTGATAGTAGTAGCTGGGCTTCTGCTGGTTCTTCACCCCAAGTGTTGGCTGCAGCATCATCAGGATTCCCATCATCGCAGATAATAAAGTCTCCAAATTGGCTGCAGAAGAATGGGTTCCACTTTCTGACGAGACCCACCTGACCTGACCTGACCCTTGTTAGAGTCGAAAGTCTTTCTGCGTCGGCCATTTCTCTCAATCTCATCAATCGTTTTTTGTGTCGATCTTATTTGTTAGTCACTCCATCCACTTTCCACTTGTAAAGATGAAAAAAGCTTGAGCGAGGTAACTAACAGGAGCTCCCTCCAAACTCCAATCTTATGAGAAACGATTCTGCCTTTTTCTTGCGTTGTGTAATTGCTGATCTGATTTGATTTCCTCTTACTGATTTACTCGGTCTAAAATGGGTTATTATTATTTTTGATGGTTAGCGAAATACCCTTGTTTTCCGATCGACCACGACCACTCTTCGGAAATCGTTGAAAAGCTGAAACTGATAGATTACACTGTCTAAAATTCCCTAATCAAGTAATGATAGCTTATTATAAGAAAAAGCAGGCGTGGAACCCCAAAAGAAATTATTAAAATGTATTAATACTAATGGCAATAAGAGAGGAGGGGTATGTGTATCAGCAGTAGCTGGCAGTAGGTCAATCAGAATGCACAGCCCCGACAAAAGCCCAATTACTTCTCGGAAATATCGTCGGATTGAGGGTGAAAGAATGACGTGTCGCTATCGTCGGTGTCCTTAAAATCAGTTCACGGCGAATAGAGTCAGACATGGCTATAATGACGACTGACGAGAGGGACCTAACCTCCTAAAGGCTTCAAAGCTTGCCCAGTCCTACCACTACCACCTCATCTCCTCCGATAATCAGAAAAAGGGGAACCCTCTAAAGCTCGCATCTTCTGATCTTCAACTCCGTGGGCTTAGGAGTAAACGGCGTCTGTCCCGACACGTCCTCGTTACGGCTGCTAAGCAATCAATAGACAATAGTTACGTAGTATTTCCTATATATTAGTTAGTTAATAATTAAGTGGCAACTTGATTTTGACAATAATTTATTTAACAACTTAATTACTTGGAATGGTATTTTAGTTTATCTAGTTATTAAAGTAATACAATCCAACTCCCCTGCCTGACTAGCAAAGCAAAAAAACATGAGAAGAAGAATAATAAAGTTTAGGCAATAAGGCAGGCTGCTTCCATCATCATGGGCGTCATCACATCCCAATCCCAGTGCAATAGTTCTGTTCCTCCTACTTTCGTTCAATAATGTCCCATTCCTCTGTAAAGGAAATGGCAAAGTAAGGAATCGGAACCAAACCTCCTCTTGAGTCTTGGCCTCCTCACCCCACTCAAAACAGAGAGAGAGATCCAAAACCTTTCTCTTTTATTAATAATTGTTTTTTCTCTACTTTTTATGGCTGGGTCCCGGTAAATTTTATATATTTAAAAAAGAAAAGACAGGCAACGTCCGTTGGTTGTTGTTGATTTCCTAAATGATAGTTAGTAGCTAAGGTGGACCTCAGAAAAGAGGTCCCTCCCACAGTCCCACTTGGTCCTTGCCCCTTCCATATAAATTTGTACCACACGAATACCAGCAGTTTCACGACCCTTATCTTAGATACTTCATCACTGCGAAGCCCTGCCACCTACGACAACACTTCATCACTTCATCTGCTTCGTCGCCATCATCGCCATCGTCATCAGCGTCTCTCTCTCTCTCTCCAAAACAAATAATCACGAAATGAAACATCTAGTTTAGGGTAAAAATCTTTGACACTTGTCGAAAGGATATTAAATGGGTGGCAAATTTAGAGACCTCAACGGTCTAGATAGGACGTATACAGGAAAATTTGACCCAATCAATCAAAAATAAAAAAGCGAATTTTCTAATAAAGAGATAAGATGAGTTTTCTCTTTTCTGTACGAGGGAATACTTGAACAAGTGCATGTTTATAAGAAGACGGGTGGTTTCAGGGCTGGAAATAGCAAGAGACAGACAGGGAGTGAGAAGAGAGAGAGAGTCAATGAAAGTAGGGGATAGTTGGATACGCAAGCAAGACTGGGAAGGTAAAGTGGTAAACTGTAAAGGTAGGTAGCGTGGCCGTGGCGTTAAACATTATTATAGATTGGGGTGAGGGGTCTGACAAGGCAGTCTTTTTTGGTTTCCTCTTCGGGGACGCACCAACCCTAAATCAAAGTCCGACCGTTCCGGTTATCTCACCTTCTCACTTTTCCTTTTCTGGCTTTCGCTAATTTTCCATTTTCCCATCCGACACCCCTTTTCCTTTATTTCCTCTTCCTCCATCCACCTCGTCCCCCTCTCTCTCATATATACCACATGGGGAAGGGGAAAGGAGAGAGTGTGTTCGGATCTCATCCCAACACTTAAAACACCGCCCAACATCATCTCCAATCTCCATGTATGAGATGTGCGGACAGAGATCATGTTGGACCATGTCATGGGTAATTTTGTTTTTATTTATTTATTTTTTTTTGTTGAGAGGAAATCGAAATCCCAAGTGATCGTCACGGAGGAGTGAGGAGGACAAAGGGGAGAAAGGGAGGAGGGGGGGGGGAAAGGGGAAAGGAGAGAGTGTGTTCGGATCTCATCCCAACAATTAAAACACCGTCCCAACATTTTTTTTTTTTGTTGAGAGGAAATCAAAATCCCAAGTGATCATCACGGAGTAAGGAGGACAAAGGGGAGAAAGGGAGTAGGGGGGGGGGGGGAGGGACCTATCACCTTTGTCGTTGGTGTGTCTCAATTCTCAAACGCTGCTCTCGAATCTGGACTCTGGAGACGCATTCCCATTGCCTCATTTGCACGCTATCACATTCGTTTTGGGCCACATAAAAATATATATAAATATATAGATTTTCCCATATATATATATATTAGATTAAACAACATAAAAGCAACTGCCGACCCAACACCAAAATAGCTACACATTGGTCCTACCTACAATCCGTCCCGTCCCGTCTCGTCACTCACCGCTGCTGTGGTCCCCAGGGGAGGAGAGAAGGGGGTAGCTCAACACCATAGCTGGGCCTAGGTTAATTTGCTGCATACAGTAATAAGGAATATAGTTTTACCAAAAAAAAGTAACAAGGAATATAACAATAATAACAAAATAAAAAAAGGGAGGAGAGTCGAGACGCGAAAAATAAGAAATAAAAAAAATTAGAAAGCAAATTGTAAAGGCTACCAAAATTGGGTTTGGAGATGGTAGGGGTAGGTGTGTCCTTGTTGATTGATAAAAAGTGTTGCTTGTTGAATGAAATACAAACATTACGGTCTCTTATGCACGTGAATTATTGTCCATCATCTCCATCTATTATCCTAACCTCTTTTAACACGTACCTATCTTGTACATATTATGTTACATGTACACCCACTCTTGTACTCCTTTTTTTTTTCTTACGTGCATGCATACACTAACAACATTACAAATATATAAAACACATGGAATTGGGATTGATTGGGCTGCCCTCCTCTTTTTCCTCTTCGTTTCCTTTTCTTCTAATAAATCTTCCTATTCTTTCTCCAAGTAGTTGGAATAATATGATTTCCCCACACTATAGAGAGAGAGAGAGAGTTTCAATTTTAATAGACTCCGAATCCTATACCGGAACAGGATGACACCTGGTAAATTCATCATGAACCTAATCCTTGTTGGGGACCCACAATGTAGGGAGATGACTTCATGTGTCATGTCATGATATTTGTTCACTCTAAAGATAAAAGAGGTCTTTTAGAGGATTCAACACAATTCCAATTACATGCCCCAACTTAGCATGGCTATTTCATAATCAAATATGAATAATTCAAATGTTTAGTTAAAATCAAATTCGGATATTTTATTTATACTAAACAGTTAATTGGATTCAAATTTAGATATGACCTGATTTGATTTATAAACATCCCAATTCAATTAATTATTTAATTTTTATATATAATATAAAAATATTTAAATATCTTATATGATTAAATTATATAATAATTTTATATATTTATTAATTACCTAAATTAATTAATTACTCGAATTCAAATCGAATTAAATCTAAGATTCAAATATTTAATCGGATATTGCCTTATTCAATTCGAATTTGATCCGTTTATACTCCTACTTCATGGGAATGGGAGTCTGGAATCAGAATTGGAAAGAGTTATTTTGATTTCAACTGTTTTGGTTGGAAGGAATTGAAATCTCATTTCCTTTTCTGGTGGGATGGTATTTTCCCATTTGAGGGAATGGTCATTCCCTCCCCCTCCCTTAGGAATAAATTTCATTTCTGCTGATTTCAATTTTTATTACCATTCCTATCTAGACGATAGACCATTCTAATTTCGATTCTGAAGAATCTCGATTCCAATTCCAACTGAGAACCAAACGGACCATATATATATATATATATATACATGTATCAGGCCCGTAATATATTGATATGCAAAATATTAGTAGACAGGATTTGGCAACTTATTTGTTTAGCTCCTGTATTGATGGGGCCATATTAATAATAATTCGGATCACATAAAGCGTTTGAGATATTTGGGAGATGCAGAGATAAACCAAACAGGCCAGCTTCATCTTCTTCTTATGCAATTATCATAGTTTATAGAGACCATAATATGTACGGCCAGGCCACCTTTACGTTTTCGATAAATATGGAGTTTGTAAAATAAATAGTTTAGAGTTTAGGACTGAGCACCATCTGACGTGATCCACAAATTACAAATTAACGGAGAACACCGAACAATTCATTTCATTTAATTTGTCCTCCCATCATTTTCTTTCTATCGAGTATTGATTGATTTGATGATTCCCATCCCGCGCCCCATCAATGAACGAATGACCGGATTCGAGTCATAATTTAATTTCTTGTTGAAGCATCCAACCAACTTACTTTTCAATGCATTGTAAGCTAGCTATTTGTGGAAGTGTAACTAATAAATAAAACAAAGAACAAATAGACCTGATTACGACTTTGTGCTTTTGGATTTGGGAGCACGGCTTTTGCTTTCTCCAAATGTCGCTCCCGTTATCACACTCTTTTTATCTTACTTTTCCAAATACATCCATCCATCCAACCAATCCAATTAAATTAAATCCCAAACAAGTAATACCTCCAGCGCAGCTCCGGCCCACCGGCTCCTCTATGTTGTTTTGGTAATTCCTACCATATGTTGCTCGGGTTGAACTCTATCTATTTAATTGCTTCAACGGACTGCCGGTGATAATCACAGCTCAACTACCCACCTTATTCTATTTTTTTCTTTGTTCTTTCCTTTTATAAGTCTCAAATATTCCGGCTTCCCCCCCGTAATTCGTCTTCTAAGCCCCAAGTATACCCCTTTTTGTTGTAATGGCAATAACGTT